TTTTGGGGGCAAAATCCTGGATTGGGGGATGATATTCTGGAATTTTGAAATCCTGGGATTTTGGGTGGGATCCTGGAATTATTGGGGCAAAATCCTGGAGTTTTGGGGAGGAAATCCTGGGATTTTTGAGGGGGATCCTGGGATTTTGAGGGTGATGTTTTGTAATTTGGAGATGAAATCCTAGAATTAGGGGGGGCAAACCCTGGAGTTTTGGGGGGAGATCCTGGGATTTTGGGTGGAATCCTGGAACTGTCAGGGCAAAATCCTGGGTTTTGGGGATGATATCCCAGAGTTTTGGGGGAAGATATGGAATTTTGGGGGTGATATCTTGGAGTTTTGGGGGTAAATCCTGGAATCTTAAGGGCAATCCTGGAGTTTTGTGGATGAAATCCTGGGCTTTTGGGGGCAAATCGTAGAGTTTTGGGGAGAATATCTTGGGATTCGGGGAGACAAATCCTGGAACTGGGAGAGGAATCCTGGGGTTTTGGTGGCAAATCCTGGGATTTTGGGGGGAATTGTGGAATTATCAGGTCAAAATCCTGGATTTTGGGGGTGATCTGGAATTTGGGGGCAAATCCTGGAGTTTTGGGGGCAAAATCCTGGGATTTTTGAGGGGAATCCTGGGATTTTGAGGGTGATACCTTGGTGTTTTGGGGGGATCCTGGAACTCTGGGAGGGCAGATACTGGAGTTTTGGGGAGATAACTTGGATTTTTGGGACAAAATCCTGGGATTTTGGGGGGTGAACCTTGGGATTTTTTGTGGGGGCAGATCCTGAGATTTTGAGGGTGATATCATGGAAGTTGGGGGCAGATCTGGGGATTTTGGGGGGCAAATCCTGGAATTTGAGGGGCAAATTGTGGAGTTGTGGGGGCAAAATACTTTGACTTTAGGGCTTAGGAGCAAACTGGAGTTTGGGGAGGGAATCCTGAAATTTGGGGGTGGTATCCTGCAATTTGGGGGCAAATCCTGAAATTTTAGGGGTGAAATCCTGAGGTTCTTGGGGAGGAATCCTAGAATATTGAGGAAGATATCCTGGAATTTTTTTTGGGGGGGGTAAAATCCTGGAGTTTTTTGATTTTTTTTTGGAGCAGAAATCCTGGAATTTCCGAAATCCTGGAGCCGTCACCTGGGCTCCATCTCCTCGTCCCCAAACCGAAGGGAGGCAGTGGGGGGGGGGGGGCGGGGGTTCATTCTGTTTCCCCCCCAGCCCCCCTCGATGACCCCGGTGCCGTTTTCTGGCAGAATAACCCCAAAATCAAGGACATCCTGGGCAAGTCGAAGGGGCAGCCCAAAAAGCGGCTGACGCACGTCTACGACCTGTGCAAGGGGAAGAACATCTGCGAGGGCGGCGAGGAGATGGACCACAAATTTGGGGTCGAGCAGCCCGAGGGCGACGAGGACCTGACCAAGGAGAAGGTGGGGACCCCCCCAGGACCCCCCCATAACGTCCCCCTGCCCCTGGGGGGGGCTGTTAACACCCCCGTTAATGTCCATATTAACGCCCGTATTCGCATTACTTAATGTTTTGGGGCCAAAAATGGTGTTAGTGCAATGATGCCCCAGTTTCCCCATTAAGACCTCGTTAAGTTCCCGTTAAGGTCTTAATGGGACCCCGCTGCCCCTCTGTCACCCCGTTAATGTCCCCGTCCCCTGTCACCGCTCTCATCTCCCCGTTATCACCCCATTAATGCTCCCCTGTCCCCGTTAGTGCTCTCTTTTCCCTATTACTGCCCCCGTTACTGCCCTCACCTCCCTGTTACCCCCCCGTTAATGCCCCGTACCCCATAACTGCTCCCTTTACCCCCATTTCCCCATTAACCCTTCCCTTCCCCCATTACCCCCCCGTTACTCCCCATTTCCCCCATTATCTCTCTTTGTGTCCCCATTTTCCCGTTTCCTCCCTTTATCCCCGTTTCCCTCCATTTCCTGTTACCCCCTTTCTACCCCAATTTCCCCATTATTCCCCCATTATTCCCCCATTATTCCCCCATTATGCCCCCATTAACGCCTTACTTTCTCCCATTACCCCCATTACCTCCCATTTCCCCATTAACACTTTACTCCGACTTTACTCCGACTTTACTCCGACTTTACTCCGACTTTACTCCGACTTTACTCCGACTTTACTCCGACTTTACTCCGACTTTACTCCGACTTTACTCCGACTTTACTCCGACTTTACTCCGACTTTACTCCGACTTTACTCCGACTTTACTCCGACTTTACTCCGACTTTACTCCGACTTTACTCCGACTTTACTCCGACTTTACTCCGACTTTACTCCGACTTTACTCCGACTTTACTCCGACTTTACTCCCCCTTTACTCCCCCTTTACTCCCCCTTTACTCCCCCTTTACTCCCCTTTACTCCCCCTTTACTCCCCCTTTACTCCCCCTTTAACCCCTTACTTTCTCCCATTTACCCCATTAACCCCTCCATTATCTTCTTTTCTCCCCCATTTACCCCATTAACCCCTCCATTCCCCTCCATTCCTCCCCATTAACCCCCCCGTTCCCCCTTTCTCCCCCCGTTACTCCCCATTTCCCCCTTCCTTCTCGCCCCTTCCTTCTCGCCCCTTCCTTCTCGCCCCTTCCTTCTCGCCCCTTCCTTCTCGCCCCTTCCTTCTCGCCCCTTCCTTCTCGCCCCTTCCTTCTCGCCCTTCCTTCTCGCCCCTTCCTTCTCGCCCCTTCCTTCTCGCCCCTTCCTTCTCGCCCCTTCCTTCTCGCCCCTTCCTTCTCGCCCCTTCCTTCTCGCCCCTTCCTTCTCCCCCCTTCCTTCTCCCCCCTTCCTTCTCCCCGTTAACCCCCTCCCCTCCCCGCAGGGCCACGGGGGCTGCGGGCGGTACCAGCCGCGGATCCGGCGCTCGGGGCTGGAGCTGTACGCGGAGTGGAAGCACGTCAACGAGGACTCCCAGGAGAAGAAGATCCTGCTGAGCCCCGAGCGCGTGCACGAGGTGCTGAAGCGCGTGTCGGACGAGGAGTGCTTCGTGCTGGGCATGGACCCCAAATTCGCCCGGCCCGAGTGGATGGTCTGCACTGTGCTGCCCGTGCCCCCCTCGCCGTGCGCCCCGCCGTCGTCATGCAGGGCTCGGCGCGCAACCAGGTGGGCGTCGGGGTTTTGGGGTCAGGGGGCTTCAGGGTCGGGGTTTGGGGTCAGGGGTGAGGCTTTGGGGTTGGGGTGCTTTGGGGTTCAGTATGTTCAGGGCCAGTTTGGGGTTGGGGGAGAGCTTCCACGTGCCCCGCCGTTGTCATGCAGGGCTCGGCGTGCAACCAGGTGGGTTTGGGGGCAGGCTTTGGGGTCAGGGGTCAGGGTTTGGGGTCAGGGGTGAGGCTTTTGGGGTTGGGGTGCTTTGGGGTTCAATATGTTCAGGGCCAGTTTGGGGTTAGGGTCACATTTTGGGATTGGGTTCTGGGGTTCTGTGCCCCCCCTCGCCAATCACCCAACAGTCGTCATGCAGGGCTCAGCCCGCAACCAGGTGGGGGTTTGGAGGTGGGGTTTTGGGGTCAGGGGGCTTTGGGTGAGGTTTTTGGGGTCGGGGATGCTTTGGGGTTCAATACATTCGGGGCCGGTTTGGGGTTAGTGTTGCAGTTTGGGGTTGGGTTCTGGGGTTCTGTGCTGCCCCTCACTGTGCACCCCACTGTCGTCATGCAGGGCTCAGCACACAACCGGGTGGGCTTGGGGTTTGGGGTGGAGGTTTTGGGGTTAGAGGGCTTAGGTTGGGAGTTTTGGGGTGAGGCTTTTGGGGTCAGGGGCGTTTTGGGGTTTGGGATGTTTAGGGCCAGTTTGGGGTTGGGGGAAGGCTTCTGTGCCACCCTGCTGTCACGCAGGGCTTGGCCCACAACCAGGTGGGCTGGGGGTTGGGGGTTCTTTGGGATTTGGGAGCTTTGAGGTTTGGGGCTTAGAGTTGGGGGTTTTGGGGTCAAGGGCAACGGGGAGCGTTTTGGGGTTTGGGATGTTCAGGGCTGGTTTGTGGCTCAGGATGTTCAGGGCCGTGTTGGGGTTAAGGGGTGTTGGGGTCAGGGACTGTGGGGTGGATGGCTTGGTTTGAGGGTTTTGGGGTTGAGGGTTTTGGGGTTTGGGGCTTGGGTTGAGGGATTTGGGGTTATGGTGCGTTTGGGGCTGGGGGAATACCACTGTTTTGGGGTTGGCGGATGCCAGCATTGGGGCATTTGGGGGTGAGGGGCTTGGCGTGGAGGCTTTGGGGTCGGGGGTTGGGGACTTTGGGGTTTGGGGCTTGGGTTGAGGGATTTGGGGTTAAGGTGTGTTTGGGGCTGGGGGAATACCAGTGTTCTGGGGGTTGGGGGCTGTTTTGGGGGTGAGGAGCTTGGTGTGGAGGCTTTGGGGTCGGGGCTTTGGGGCTGGGGTCTTTGGGGTTGGGGACACCCGGTTTGGGCTGGGGCTGGCGGAACGCGCGTTGGGGGTTAATTTGCGGTCCCCCTGGGTTTTGGGGCTTTGGGGGACGCAGCCCGGTTTTGGGGTCGGGGGGTGATGCTGACCCCACACCCCGCAGGACGACCTGACGCACAAGCTGGCCGACATCGTGAAGATCAACAACCAGCTGCGGCGCAACGAGCAGAACGGGGCGGCCGCGCACGTCATCGCCGAGGACGTCAAACTGCTGCAGTTCCACGTGGCCACCATGGTGGACAACGAGTTGCCCGGGCTGCCCCGCGTGAGTAGGGGGGGGGGGCAGCTCCTCGAGCCCCCCACGTGGCTACTGAGCCCCCCGTGTGGCCACCGTGGTGGGCGATGAGCTGTATGGGCTGCCCCGTGTGAGCATGGGGGGGGGGGTTCTGGGGTGGGGGCAGGTCCTTGAGCCCATTGTGGGGCTGTGGGACAGGCTACCAGCCCCCCCCCCCATGTGGCCACTGATCCCCTCCAAGTGGCCACCATGGTGGGCAAGGAGATGGTGGGAGGGTCCTGGGGGTTTGGGGTGGGGCCCTGACCCCCCCCCAGATGGCCACCAACCCCCCTGTGTGGCCACTGTCTCCCCCCACATGGCCACCACCCCCTGATGTGGCCACCAGGACCACCCCGCCTGACCCCTGGAGGTCCCCTGGGGGGCTCTGGGACCCCCATCAGCCCTGTGACCCCCCCCCCCCCCCAGGTGGCCACCAACCCTTCAATTTGGCCACCATGGCAGCAAAGGAGCCACCAGGGCCACCTTGTGTGACCACTGGGGGTCCCTGGGGGTGTCCAGGACCCCCCTCAGATGGCCACCAATGCCCCCATGTGGCCATTGAGCCCCCCACATGGCCACAGACCCCCCCCCAAGGTGGCCACCAATGCTCCCCATGTGGCCACTGTTTCCCTGATGTGGCCACTGACCTTCCCCAGGTGGCCACCACCCCCCTGATGCGACCACTGTGGCTGCCCCACCTGACCCCTGGGGGTCCCTTGGGGGGCTCTGGGACCCTCATCAGCCCTGTGACCCCCCCTATCTGGCCACTGACCTACCCCAGGTGGCCACCAACCCCTCCATGTGGCCCCCATGGCAGCCAAGGAGCCCCCGGGACCACCCCGCCTGACCCCTGCTGGTCCCTGCTGGGCACCCAGCCCCCCCGCAGCCCCCTGACCCCCCTCCTCGTTGCCCCCCCAGGCGATGCAGAAGTCGGGGCGGCCGCTGAAGTCGCTGAAGCAGCGGCTGAAGGGCAAGGAGGGCCGCGTGCGGGGCAACCTGATGGGCAAGCGCGTGGACTTCTCGGCCCGCACCGTCATCACCCCCGACCCCAACCTGGCCATCGACCAGGTGGGCGTCCCCCGCTCCATCGCCGCCAACATGACCTTCGCCGAGATCGTCACCCCCTTCAACATCGACCGGTACGGGGGGGGAAAATGGGGGGGGCGCGGGGGGACATGGGACACTGGGGGGGGACGTATGGGGCAGGTTTATGGGATGGGAGTATTTGTGGGGGAGAGGGATAAGGGGTGGGACAGGGACACGAGGGGATATGGGGGGGGCAGAGAGTGACACGGGAGGGATGTGGGGGGGCAGGGGGGCGCGTATGGGGGATGTGGGGGGCATGGGGGGGACCTGGGGGGCACGGGAGGGTGTTGGGAGGTGTATGGGGTGGGAGCGTTTGTGGGGGAGAGGGATAAGGGGGGGGACAGGGACACGGGGGGGATGGGGGGGGGGATGGGGGACGAGGAGGGACATGGGATGGGGACATGGGGGGCATATGGGGTGGGGGGAGGACATATGGGGTGTGGGGGGCATATGGGGGACATGGGGGGGACATAAAGGGTATGAGGGACATGGGGGGGGACAGGGCGTGGGGATACAGGGATGTGGGGGGGTGAAGACGTAGGGACATGGGGGGACATCTGGGGGACAAGGGGGGGCGTATGGGGTATGGGGGGACATGGGAGGGACATATGGGGGACTTATGGGGTGTGGGGGACGTGTAGGGGGGATGGAGATGGGGACACGTGGGGGCCGGGGGTCATGGGAGGGACATGTGGGGGCATGGGGGGACAGGGACACGTGGGGGGGATGGGGGTGGCACAGGGACAGCAGGGGGGACATTGGGGGGACGCGTATGGGGGCAGGGATTCTTCTGGGGGATGGGGGGGCGCAGGACATATGGGGGAAGAGGGGGTTGGGGGAAAAGGGGACACGGGGTGACACGTGGGGACACTGGGGGGCACAAATGGGACATAGGAGTATGGGGGGGACACAGGGACATCTGTGGGGTGTGCGGGGACAGGGATGGAGGGGGGGGACGGGGGGGTCGTTTATGGGACGGGGGGGGTGTAGGGGGGATCCGGGGGGATGTGTGGGGATATGGGGCTGTGTGGGGACACCTGGGGACCCCCCAGTGTCCCCCCCCCCCCCAGGCTGCAGGAGCTGGTGCGGCGGGGGAACAGCCAGTACCCGGGGGCCAAGTACATCATTAGGGACAACGGGGACCGCATCGACCTGCGCTTCCACCCCAAACCCAGCGACCTGCACCTGCAGACCGGCTACAAGGTGCCACGGCCCCAAAACCCGCTGCGGGGTCCGGGGGAGCCCCAGGGGGATTTGGGGGGGGGGGTCAGGAGGCGGTTTAGGGGGTGCTAAAGGTGGTGGGGTTTGGAGGGGAGCGGGGGGTTTGGGGTCGGTCTTTGTGTTGTAGGGCCAGTTCCCTCGTTTTGGGGTTTTTAAAGGAATGAGGGGATTTGGGGAGAAATGTTGGGTTTCAGGGGTCCCACAGAGGTCTGAAATTTAGGGCTTGATCTTTGGGTTCAGGGGGGGAGCTCTGGGTTTGGGGAGTCCTGCTTTGGGGTTTCCTGAGAAGTGGGTGAGCATTTGGGGTGGTGTAATGGGGCTTGGGGTGTTGAAAAACAGCAATTTTAGGGGGGAGCTCCTGGTTTTTAGGGGCAAACCCCTCCAGTTTGGGGTTTGCAGAGAGCCCCAGGGGCTTTTGGGGTCCAGGAGGCAATTTTGGGGGTTTTAAAGGTGGTGGGGTTTGAAGGGGAGCATTGGGTTTGGGGTGTGGGGGGAGCTTCGTGTGGTTGGGGTCAGTCCTTTTGCTGTAGGGCCGGTTCCTTCACTTTGGGGTTTTTGAAGGATGGCGGGAATTTGGGGAAAAACATTGGGGTTTAGGGGTTCCAGAGAGCTCTGAGTTTTAGGGATCAATTTTCGGGTTTGAGCTCTGAGTTCGGGGGATCCCTGGTTTTGGGGTTTCCTGAGGAGCGGTGAGCGTTTGGGGTGTAGCGGTGGGATTTTGGGTGTCAAAAAGCAGCGGTTTTAGGGAGAAACCCGAGGTTTTAGGGGGAACCCTCCCGGTTTGGGGTTTTTGGGGTGACGCGGGCTGTGTCCCCAGGTGGAGCGGCACATGTGTGACGGGGACATCGTCATCTTCAACCGGCAGCCCACGCTGCACAAGATGTCCATGATGGGGCACCGCGTGCGCATCCTGCCCTGGTCCACCTTCCGCCTCAACCTCAGGTACCCAAACGGCCCCAAAACCCCAAAATGGCCCCGCAGCGACCCCAAAAATGGCTCCAAAATCCCTGAAATGGCCCTGCAGGCCCCAAACGGCTCCATGACGCTAAAACCACACCAAAACCCTAAAATCACCCCACAACTCCCCCAGAATGGCCCCGTGACCCCAAAATGACCCTGCAACTCCCCCCAAAAATGGCTCCATGACCCCAAAACAGCGCCAAAACCCCCAAATGACCACACAACGCCCCCAAAAATGGCCCCAAAATCCCCCAAAATGGCCCTGCAGGCCCCAAACAGCTCCATGACCCTAAAACCACACCAAAACCCTAAAATCACCCCACAACTCCCCCCAAAATGGCCCCGTGACCCCAAATGGCCCCACAACTCCCCCCAAAATGGCCCCATGACCCCAAAACCCCAGAATGACCCCACAACTTTCCCAAAAGTGGCCCTGTGACGCCAAAACAGTTCCAAAACCCCCAAATGACAGCACAACTCCCCCCCAAAATGGCTCCGTGACCCAAAAACCTCCCCAAAACCCTAAAATGACACCACAACTCCCCCCAAAATGGCCCTGCAGCCCCCAAAATGGCTCCCACAAGTCCCCCAAAAATGGCCCTATGGCCCAAAACCCATAAATGACCCCACAACTCCCCCCAAAGTGGCTCTGCAACCCCAAAACGGCCCTGTGACCCCAAACCAGTGCCAAAATACCCAAATGACCACACATCTCCCCCCAAAATGGCCCCAAAATCCCAAAACGGCTCTGCAGCCCCAAAATGGCCCTGTGACCCAAAAACCACCCCAAAATGACCCCACAACTCCCCCAAAAATGTCTCTGGAGACCCAAATGGCTCCTACAACTCCCCCAAAAACGGCCCTATGACCCCAAAACCCCAATATGACCCCACAACTCCCCCAAAAACGGCCCCATGATCCCAAAACAGCCCCAAAACTCCCCCCAAACAGCCCCAAAACTCCCCCAAAAATGGCTCTGAAGCCCCAAAATGGCCCTGTGACCCCAAACCTGCCCCGGTGTCCCCAAACCTGCTGCACGGTAGGTATGCAGTGTCCCTAAATTGTCACCATGTCCCCAGCCCTGCCCCCTGACGGGTTCCTGATGTCCCCAAACCTGCTATATGGCCGATGTCCTATCCCATGTCCCCAAACCTGCTCCTTGACCGGTTGTAATGTCCCCAGACCTGTCCCAGTGTCCCCAGACCAGCCCCACAACAGGTTCCTGGTGTCCCCAAACTTGTCCCAGTGACCCCAAAAGTGCCCCGTGATGGGTACCCAGTGTCCCCAGACCTGCCCTGTGACAGGTCTCCAGCGGCCCTAAACCTGTTTGAAAGTCCTAAACTTGTCCTGCTGTCCCCAAATGTGCCATGTGACGGGTCTTCAGTGTCCCTGAACCTCTTCGAATGTCCCAAACTTGTCCCAGTGCCACCAAACCTGTCCTGCAACGTGTCCCAAACCTTGTCCCAATGTCCCCAAACTCACCCTGTGACATATCCCCAGTGTCCTCAAAGCGGTCCCAATGTCCCCACACCTGTCCCTATGCCCCAAACCCACCCCGTGACGTGTCCCCAAAGCTGCCCCAACGTCCCCAAACTTGTCCCAGAGAACCCAAACCCTAGTGCATCTCCAGTGTCCCCAAACTCATCCCTATGCCCCAAAACCCACGCTGTGACAGGTCCCCAGTGTCCCTAAAACTACTTTAACGTCCCCAAACCCACCCTGTGATGTATCCCCAGTGTCCCCATGTCCCCAGAGCTGCCCCAATGTCCCCAGATTTGTCCCAGAGCCCCAAACCCACCCTGTGACAGGTCCCCAGTGTCCCTAAAACTACTTTAACATCCCCACACCTGTCCCTATGCCCCAAACCCCCCCGTGACGTGTCCCCAGCGTCCCTAAAACCACTTTAACGCCCCCAAACCCCCCCGCGACGCGTCCCCAAGCCCCCCCCCCCAGCTCACCCCCTTTCCCCCGCAGCGTCACCACCCCGTACAACGCGGACTTTGACGGGGACGAGATGAACCTGCACCTGCCGCAGTCGCTGGAGACGCGGGCGGAGATCCAGGAGCTGGCCATGGTGCCGCGCATGATCGTCACCCCGCAGTCCAACCGCCCCGTCATGGGCATCGTGCAGGACACACTCACCGCCGTCCGCAAGTTCACCAAGCGCGACGTCTTCCTCGAGCGCGTGAGCACCCCCGGGATTTGGGGTGGTCCTCGGGGCATTTGGGGTGGACATCGCAGGATTTGGGGTGTCCCTAAATACCTCCTGAGGCTTTAGGGTGGCTTCCGAGGGCTTTAGGGTATCCCCCAGGGGTTTTGTGGTGGCCTCTGAAGGATTTCAGGTGGCCCTCGGTACCCCCTGAGGCTTTAGGGTAGCTTCTGAGGGCTTTGAGGTAGCCCTCAGGGGTTTTGGGGTGGCCCCTGGTGGATTTCAGATGGTCCTCGGTACCTCCTGAGGCTTTAGGGTAGCTTCTAAGGGTTTTGGGGTGGCCTCTGGAGGATTTCAGATGGCTCTCGGTACATGCTGAGACTTTAGGGTAGTTTCTAAGGGTTTTGGGGTGGCCCCTGGAGGGTTTTGGGTAGCTCTTGGTACCCCCTGAGGCTTTAGGGTAGCTTCCAAGGGTTTTGGGGTGGCTCTTGGGGGTTTTGGGGTGGCCCTCCGTACCCCCTGAGGCTTTAGGGTAGCTTCCAAGGGCTTCGAGGTAGCCCTCAGGGGTTTTGGGGTGGCCCCTGGGGGCTTTGGGGTGGTCCTCAGTACCCGCTGAGGCTTTAGGGTAGCTTCCAAGGAATTTGGGATGGGCCCTGAGGCTTTAGGGTAGCTTCCAAGGAATTTGGGGTATCCCTCAGGGGTTTTGGGGTGGTCCCTGGAGGATTTCAGGTGTCTCTCAGTACCCCCTGAGGCTTTAGGGTAGCTTCTGAGGGCTTTGGGGTGGTCCTCAGAGGGTTTGGGGTGGCCACTGAGGCTATAGGGTGGCCCTGTGATGTTTTGGGGTGGCCCCTGGAGGCTTTAGGGTGGACCCAGGGGCTTTAGGGAGCATCTCTGTGTTGTGGCAGGTAGGAATTGGGGATGTGGAGGGACATTCCTGAACTGTAGGGTGTTTTTAGGGCATTTTTGGGAGCACGTTTGGTTATGGCAGAAAGGATTTAGGTTGCTCTGGGGGGCATTCATGATCTCCAGGGTGAATTTAAGGCGTTTTGGGAGCACCTTCATGTTGTGGTATGTAGGATTTGGGGTGCTTTTGGGGCATCCCTGGTCTGTAGGATGTATTTATGGCATTTTGTGAGCACCTTTGTGTTGTAGCAGGTAGGATTTGGGGTTGTTGGAGAGCATCCCAGATCTGTAGGATGTATTTAGGTCATTTTGGGAACACGTTTAGCTATATTAGGTAGGATTTGGGGTGCTTTTGGGGCATCCCAGATCTGTAGGATATATTTAGGGCTTTTTGGGACTGGGTTTGGCTGTGGCAAAAAGGATTTGGCGTGCTTTTGGGGCATCCCTGACCTCTAGGATGCGTTTATGGCATTTTGGGAGCACCTTTGCATTGCGGCAGGTAGGATTTGGGGTGCTTTTGGGCCATCCCAGATCTGTAGGATGTATTTAGGGCTTTTTGGGACTGCGTTTGGCTGTGGCAGGTCGGATTTGGGGTGCTTTGGGGGCGTTCATGACCTACAGGGTGAATTTAGGGCATTTTGGGAGCACCTTTGCATTGCGGCAGGTAGGATTTGGGGTGCTTTTGGGACATTCTAGATCTGTAAGATGCATTTAGGGCATTTTGGGAGCACCTTTGTGTTGTGGCAGGTAGGAATTGGGGTTGTTGGGGGACATCCCTGACCTATAGGATTTATTTAGGGCATTTTGGGGCTACGTTTGGTTATGGCAGGTAAGATTTGGGGTGCTTTGGGGGCATCCCTGACCTCTAGGATGCGTTTATGGCATTTTGGGAGCACCTTTGCATTGCGGCAGGTAGGATTTGTGGTGCTTTTGGGACATCCTAGATCTGTAGGATGTATTTAGGGCATTTTGGGGGCACGTTTGGCTATGTCAGGTAGGATTCAGGGTGCTTTTGGGGCATCCCTGACCTCTAGGATGCATTTAGGGTATTTTGGGGCCACGTTTGGTTATGGCAGGTAAGATTTGGGGTGCTTTGGGGGCATCCTAGATCTGTAGGATGTATTTAGGGCATTTTAGGAGCACCTTTGTGTTGTGGCAGGTAGGATTTGGGGTTGTTGGGGAGCATCCCAGGTCTATAGGATGTATTTAGGTCATTTTGGGAACATGTTTAGCTATAGCAGGCAGGATTTGGAGTGGTTTTGGGGCATCCCTGACCTCTAGGATGTATTTAGGGCTTTTTGGGACTGCGTTTAGCTGTGGCAGAAAGGATTTGGGGTGCTTTGGGGGTATTCATGACCTACAGGGTGAATTTAGGGCATTTTGGGAGCACCTTTGTGTTGTGGCTTGTAGGATTTGGGGTACATTTGGGACATCCCATCCCCTTACAAACACTTGAGGCCGCCACGGCACCACCCCACCAGGCTCCTACCGGGGCGGTGCCGCCCCATGGGGGTATCGGGGTGCCTTTTGGGGCCGCTATAGGGTTTTTCCCCCGCAGGGCGAGGTGATGAACCTGCTGATGTTCCTGTCGACGTGGGACGGGAAGGTGCCGCAGCCCGCCATCCTAAAACCCCGCCCGCTGTGGACGGGGAAACAAATCTTCTCCCTCATCATCCCCGGGCACATCAACTGCATCCGCACACACAGCACCCACCCCGACGACGAGGACAGCGGGCCCTACAAGCACATCTCCCCCGGGGACACCAAGGTGTGGGGCTGGGGGCACCCTGGGGTGCTCGGGGAGGGGGTTGGGGGGGAGCTGAGGGGGGTTGGAGAGGCTTTGGGGGGGTTTTGGGGTGGTTTTGGGGTGGGTGGAAGGAGCAGGGGTTTTGGGGACACCAAGGTGTGGGGCTGGAGGCACCCTTGGGTGCTCGGGAAGGGGTTAGGGGGGAGCTGAGGGGGGTTTGGAGAGGCCCTGGGGGGAGTTTGGGGTGGTTTTGGGGTGGGTGGAAGGAGCAGGGGGCTTCTGTGGGGTTGTGGGTACGAGACTGGGGTGGGTGGTGGGTGCTGTAGGGGGACTGGGTGGGAGGTGGGGACGGTCTGGGGGGATTTGGGGTGGTTGGGGGAATATGAGGGTGGTCTGGGGGGTTCGGGGTGGCTCTAGGGGTTGTTGGGGGGATGCAGGAATGGTCTCGGGGGAGTCTGGGGGAATGTAGGGACGGATTGGGGTGGCTCTGGGGTGGTTGTGGGGCATGGGAATGGTCTTGGGGGGCTTTGGGGGCTTTTGGGGTAGCTCTGGGGTGGCTGTGGGGACAGTCTGTGGGGTTTGGAGCGGCTCTGGGGCTGTTGTGGGGACATAGGGCTGGTTCTGGGGGTGGTTTTGGGGACATGGGGACAGCCTGGGGGGTTTTGGGGTGGTTGGGGGAACATGGGGAAGGTCTGGGGGGCTTTTGGGGTGGCTTTTGGGGGGGATTTAGGGTGGCTCTGGGGAGCTGCAGGGTTTCGGTTTGGAAGCGCCGAGCGGATGAAGGGATCCCGAGGGCTTTGGGAGGAAACCCAGGGGCACCCTTGGGTGGGTGCCAGGTGCTGGGGGGGTGCGGATCCCCCCCCCTGAAGCCCCCCGCCCTATTTGCAGGTGATCGTGGAGAACGGGGAGCTGATCATGGGCATCCTGTGCAAGAAGTCCCTGGGCACGTCGGCCGGCTCGCTGGTGCACATCTCCTACCTGGAGATGGGCCACGACACCACGCGCCTCTTCTACAGCAACATCCAGACCGTCATCAACAACTGGCTGCTCATCGAGGGTCCGTGGGGCACGGGGCGGGGGGGCGCGGGGGGGTCCCGGCCCCGTTTTGGGGTCAAAACGGGGTCCTGGGGGTGTGGGGAACCCCTCAGAGCTGCGTTTCCTGGTGAAATTGGGGAGCTTGGGGGGGCTTGGGGGGCTGCTGGGCTCGTTTCTTGGCATCGGGGTCTTGGTTTTTGGGCCCTTATAGGGTCGGGAGTTAAGGGGGGGATGCCCCGGGGTGGGGAGCGCCCCCCCTGACCCCTTCCCCATCCCGCCCCCAGGGCACACCATCGGCATCGGGGACTCGATCGCGGACGCGAAGACGTACCAGGACATCCAGAACACCATCAAGAAGGCCAAGCAGGATGTCATCGAGGTGGGGGGGGGGATTTGGGGGGCTCCTGGGGCTTTGGGGTTGCCTCTGAGGCTATAGGGTGGCCCTCAAAGGTTTTGGGGTGGCCCCTGAGGCTTTAGGATGGCCAGAGGGGGGGCTCTGGGGCCACCCCTGAGACTATAGGGTGGCCTTTTGGGGGGCTCCCGGGGCATTTAGGGGGGCCCCAGGGCTTCTGGGGAGTTCTTTGGAAGGCTCCCCAGGCCTTTAGGGGCTTTTGGGGTTGCTCTTGGGATTTGGGGGGGGGCTCCTGGGACATACGAGGGATTCCCAGGGCGTTTGGGGTCCCCTTCAGGATGTCTGGGTGATGCTGGAGCATCCCCTGGGTGGGATTTGAGGTTCCTGGGGGGGGACCCCCCGAATTCTGAGGCTTTAGCAGCAGTTTTTAGGGTTTGGCGTCTTTTTCTGTGCCTCTTGCGGCTCCTGGGTGATTTTGGGGTCCCCTACTGATGCTATAGGGACATTTTGGGGCACTCACTGACCCTGGCACACTTTGGGGTGCTCCTGGGCGTTTTGGACCATCTCCAGTGGCTCTGGGATGCTTTTGGGGTTTCAAGAGCACCCCTGGTGATGCCAGGAGAGTTTTGGGGCGTCCCCAAGGCATTTGGGGTGTTCCCTGTTCCCTTAGGCCCCTTTGAGGATCCCTGGTGCTGTTTTGGGGTGCTCGGTGCTTCCTCTGGGCTGATTTGGGGCTGTTACCTGGGCTTTTGGGGGCGTTTTTGGGGTCCAGTTCCTGGGGTTTTGGGAGTGTTTTGGGGGGCTGATCCCCAGGATTTTGGGGACCACAACCTGGGGTCTTGGGGGCATTTTTGGGGGCTGCTCCCTGGGGTGTTGGGGTGTTTCTGGGGGCTGCTCCCCAGGAATTTTGGGGACCAGTTCCTAGGGTTTTAGGGGTGTTTTCGGGGGCTGCTCCCTGGGGTTTTGAGGGAGTTTTGGGGGCTGCTCCCCAGGGTTTTGGGGACCACTCCCTGGGGTGTTGGAGGCATTTTTGGGGACCAGTTCCTAGGGTTTTAGGGGTGTTTTGGGGGGCTGCTCCTCGGGCTTTTTGGGAGCTGCTCCCCAGGGTTTTGGGGGCGTTTTGGGGGCCGTTCCCTGGGCATTTTGGGGACCAGTTCCTAGGGTTTTAGGGGTGTTTTGGGGGGCTGCTCCCCAGCGTTTTTGGGAGCTGCTCCCTGGGGTTTTGGGGACCACTCCCTGGGTTTTGGAGACATTTTTGGGGCTGCTCCCTGGGCATTTTGGGGACCAGTTCCTAGGGTTTTAGGTGTGTTTTCGGGGGCTGCTCCCTGGGGTTTTGGGAACCACTCCTTGGGGTTTTGGAGTCATTTTTGGGGCTGCTCCCTGGGCATTTTGGGGACTAGTTCCTAGGGTTTTAGGGGTGTTTTGGGGGGCTGCTCCTCGGGCTTTTTGGGGTCTGCTCCCCGGGGTTTGGGGGATGTTTTTGGGGGCCGCTCCCTGGGCATTTTGAGGACCAGTTCCTAGGGTTTTAGGGGTGTTTTGGGGGGCTGCTCCTTGGGGTTTTGGGGCAGTTTTGGGGGGTTGCTCCCCAGGGTTTTGGGGACCACTCCCTGGGGTTTTGGAGGCATTTTGGGGGACCATTTCCTAGGGTTTTAGGGGTATTTTGGGGGGCTGTTCTCTAGGGTTTTTGGGAGCTGCTCCCTGGGATTTGGGGGGGCGTTTTGGGGACCGCTCCCTGGGGTTTTGGGGTGCCCTGCTGACCTTTTGGGGTCACAGGTGATCGAGAAGGCTCACAACAACGAGCTGGAGCCCACGCCAGGGAACACGCTGCGGCAGACCTTCGAGAACCAGGTGAACCGCATCCTCAACGACGCCCGCGACAAGACGGGGTCCTCCGCCCAAAAATCCCTCTCCGAGTACAACAACTTCAAGTCCATGGTGGTGTCGGGCGCCAAGGGCTCCAAGATCAACATCTCCCAGGTACGGGGGGGCTTCTGGGGGCTTTTATGGGGTCTGGAGGTGGGCAGGAGGATCTCAGTGGGGTTTGTTGAGGGTTCCTCGGGGGTTTTGGGAACCTTTGTGGGGTCTTTTTGGGATGCTGTGGTTCTGGTGGGCACCAAGAGCTCCAAGGTCAACGTTTTCCAGGTAGGTGGGGGCTCTGTGAGGTCTTGGGGGGCTTCTGTGGGGTCTGGAGGTGGGCAGGAGGATCTCAGTGGGGTTTTGTGGACCTCTGTGGGGTTTTATGAACCTCTTTATGGGGTCTTTATGGGAGGCTGCAGTGGTGGTGGGCTCCGAGATCATTGTTCTCCAAGGTATGCTGGGGTTTTATGGGGTCTTGGGGGGCTTCTTGGGGGTCTGGAGGTGGGCAGCAGGCTCTCAGTGGGGTTTGTTGAGGGTTCCTGGGGGGTTTTGGGAACCTTTGTGGGGTCTTTATGGGATGCTGTGGTGATGGTGGGCACCAAGAGCTTCAAAATCAATGTTTTCCAAGGTACGTGGGGGTCTTGGGGGGGCTTCTGTGGGGTCTGGATGTGGTCAGGAGGTTCTCAGTGGGATTTTGTGAACCTCTATGGGGGTTTATAGACCTTTATGGGGTCTTTATGGGAGGTTGTGGTGCTGGTGTGCACCAAGATGAAGATTTCCAAGGTACGTGGGGGCTCTGTGGGTTCTCAGGGGGCTTTTGGGGGCTCTGGAGGTGAGCAGGAGGATCTCAGTGGGGGTTGGGATGGTTCCTGGGGGGTTTTGTGTGCCTCTTTGGGGTCTTTTGGGGATCTGGTGGTGTTGGTGGGCTCCAAGATGAATGCTTCCCAGGTAAGTGGGGGCTCTGTGGGGTCTCGGGGGGCTTCTGTGGGGTCTGGAGGAGGTCAAGAGGATGTCAGTGGGGTTTTGTGGACCTCGGGGGGGGGGTTATGGACCTCTGTGGGGTCTTTATGGGAAGCTTTATGGTGCTGGGCACCAGGAGAACGCCCCCCAGGTACCTTTGGGACCCCTCCAGGCGCCTCAGGGGTCTGGGGGCTCTTGTTTTGGCCCCCCAATGACCGATCCCACCCTCCCCGCAGGTCATCGCGGTGGTGGGGCAGCAGAACGTGGAGGGCAAGCGCATCCCCTTCGGCTTCAAGCACCGCACGCTGCCCCACTTCATCAAGGACGACTACGGCCCCGAGAGCCGCGGCTTCGTGGAGAACTCCTACCTGGCCGGCCTCACGCCCACCGAGTTCTTCTTCCATGCCATGGGCGGCCGCGAGGGGCTCATCGACACCGCCGTCAAGACGGCCGAGACCGGTCAGCATCCCCCCCCCAGGGGACCCCAAAATCCTTTGGGGCCGCCCAGCTATCCCCAGATGTCCCCCAGGACCCTCAAATAATCCCCAGATGTCCCCCAGCTGATCCCAAAGTCCTGCAGGACTCCCAAACTATCCCCGGATGTCCTCCAAGGACACCCAAACAATCCCCAGATGCCCTTCAGGGGACCCCAGCATCTTTCAGGACCACCCAAATAATCCCCATATGTCGCCAGGGGACCCCAAAATCCTTCAGAACCACCCAAACTATCCCCAGATGTCCCCCAGGATCCCCAAACAATCCTCAGATGTCCTCCAGGGGACCCCAGAGTCTTTAAGGGCCACCCAAAGTATCCTCAGATGTCCCCCAGATGATCCCAAAGTCCTGCAGGACTCCCAAACTATCCCCACATGTCCTCCAAGGACCCTCAAATAATCCCCAGATGCCCTTCAGGGGACCCCAGCATCTTTCAGGACCACCCAAATAATCCCCATATATCCTTCAGGGCCCCCCAGACTACCCCCAGGGGACCCCAAAGTCCTTCAGAATCACACAAACTATCCCCAGATGTCCCCCAGGGGACCCCAGAGTCCTTCAGGACCACCCAGACTGTCCCCAGATGTCCACCAGGGGGAACCCCAAATCCTTAAGGACCACCCAAACTATCCCCAGATGTCCCCCAGGATCCCCAAACAATCCTCAGATGTCCTCCAGGGGACCCCAGAGTCCTTCAGGGCCACCCAAACTATCCCCATATATCCCCCAGGGCACCCCAGAATCCTTCAGGGCCACCCAAAGGATCCTCAGATGTCCCCCAGATGATCCCAAAGTCCTTCAGGACTCCCAAACTATTCCCAGATGTCCTCCAAGGACCCTCAAATAATCCCCCAGATGTCCCCCAGGGCACCCCAGAGTCCTTCGGGGCCCCCCAAACTGGAGATATCCTGGGGGATATCTCCAGATATCCCCCAGGACCCCCAAACAATCCCTATGTATCCTTCAGGACCCCCAGAAAGTCTTTCGGGACCCCCCAAACCATCTCCAGATGCTCCCTGGGACACCCAAACAATCCCCACATGTCTTCCAGGGGACCCCCAGAGTCTTTGAGGACCACCCATATTGTCCCCAGATGTTCTCTGGGACCCCCAAACCATCCCCAGATGTTCCCCAGTGAATCCCAGAGTCCTTCAGGGCCCCCTAAGCTATCCCCAGATGTCCCCCAGGACCCTCAAGCCATCCCCAGGTGTCCTCCAGGGACCCCCAAAGTCCCCAGGAATCCCTCAAACCCTCCCCAGACGCCCCTCAGGGACCCCCAAGCCCTCCACAGATGTTCTTAGGGACCCCTGGAGTCCCTCAGGGAACCCCAATCCCTCCCCAGATGTCCTTCAGGGACCTGCAAACTCCCCAAATCCCCCCAAACCCTCCCCAGATGCCCCTCAAGGACCCCCAAGCCCTCTACAAATGTTCTTAGGGACCCCTAGAGTCCATCAGGGACCCCCAAACTCTCTTCAGATGTCCTCCAGGGACTCCCAAAGTCCCCAGGACTCCCCCAGACCCTCCCCAGATGCCTCTCAGGGACCCCCAAACTCCTCAGGACTCCCCCAAACCCTCCCCAGATGCCTCTTAGGGACCCCCAGACTCTCCCCAGATGTCCTTCAGGAACCCCCAAACTCCTCAGGATGCCCCCAAACCGTCTCCAGACGCCCTTCAGGGACCCCCAAGCCCTTCCCCTGGCCCCCCCATGCCTGACGGTGCCCCCGGCCCCCCCCCAGGGTACATCCAGCGGCGGCTGATCAAGTCGATGGAGTCGGTGATGGTGAAGTACGACGCCACCGTGCGCAACTCCATCAACCAGGTGGTGCAGCTGCGCTACGGTGAGGACGGGCTGGCCGGGGAGAGCGTCGAGTTCCAAAACCTCGCCACCCTCAAACCCTCCAACAAGGCCTTCGAGAAAAAGTGAGCCCCCCACACACACCCCGCCCCACCTTCTGGGGTCCTAAATCCCCTCCTCGCTGCAGTTTTGGGTCTGTTTTGGGGTCCCCAAGATGCTCCTCTGCAGAAATCCTGCTGCTTTGGGCACCTTTTGGGGTCCCAAATTTGCTCTTCCATAGAGCTGGGTCCACCTTGAGGTTCCCAGGCTGCCCCTCCTCAGAGAAGGGCATGTTTTGGGGTCCAAAATCTCTTCTTCCCCACAGTTGGGTCCGTTTTGGGGTCCCCAAGATGCTCTTCCCTGGAACTGGGCACGTTTTGGGGTCCCAAAGCTACTCTTCCATTGAGCTGGGCCCATTTTTGGGTTTCCAAGCTGCTCTTCCCCTGAGAAGGGCACATTTTGGGGTCTCAAATATCCTCTTCCCTGAAGTTGGGCCCATTTTGGGGTTCCCAAGCTGTTCATTCTCAGAGCAGGGCGTGTTTTGGGGGCCCCAAATCTCCTGTTCCCTGCAGTTGGGTCTGTTTTGGGGTCCCCAAGATGATCCTCCCTGGAATGGGGCACATTTTGGGTTCCCAAAGCTGCTGCTCCTCCCCTGAGATGGACCACGTTGGGGTCTCACCCCCTTGAGCACATCTCGGGGTCCTACATCTGCCCTTCCCTGGAGTTGGGCCCATTTTAAGGTTCCCAAGTTCTTCTTCTCAGAGCAGGGCATGTTTTGGGGCCCCAAATCTCTTCTTCCCTGCAGTTGGATCCGTTCCTCCCTGGATCAGGGCACATCTTGGGGTCCCAAATCTGCCCTTCCCTGGAGTTGGGACCATATTGGGGTTCCCAAGCTGCCCCTCCTCAGAGCAGGGCACGTTTTGGGGTCCCCAAGCCGTTCCTTCTTGGAACTGGACACATTTTGGGGTCTCAAATCTCCTCCTCCCTGGAACTGGGAGCGTTTTGGGGTCCCTAAGCTGCCCCTCCCCAGAGCAGGGCACGTTTTGGGGTCTCAAATCTTCTCCACCCTGGAGTTGGGTCCATTTTGGGGTCCCCAAGCTGCTCCTTCTTGGAACTGGACACATTTTGGGGTCCAAAAGATGCTTCTCCCTGGGACTGGGCCTATATTGGGGTTCCCAAGCCATTCTTCCTCAGAGCAGGGCACATTTTGGGGTCCCCAAGATGTCCCTTCTTGGAACTGGGCACATTTTGGGGTCTCAAATCTCCTCCTCCCTGGAACTGGGCGCATTTTGGGGTCCCCAAGCCTCTCCTTCCCCGGCTCAGGGCCCCGTGGCGGGGGTGACCCCACACACCGAGGGCTCCCCCGTCCCCGCACAGGTTCAAGTTCGACTACACCAACGAGCGGGCGCTGCGGCGCACGCTGCAGGAGGAGCTGGTCAAGGAGGTGCTGAGCAACGCCCACATCCAGAACGAGCTCGAGCGCGAGTTCGAGAAGATGCGGGAGGACCGCGAGGTGCTGCGCGTCATCTTCCCCACGGGGGACAGCAAGGTCGGCACCCCACAGCACCCCACATGGCCCCCCAGCCCTGCCACTGCCCCTTTTTGGGGGTTTTGGGGTGCTGCCCCTGCTCCTCGTCCCCTTTTTGGGGTGCAGCCACAGGCCATGAACTTTTCAGTGCACTGTAAGCACCCGTTTTAGGGTGCTCGCCCCTTTTTGGGCACAATCTGTGCGTTTTAGGGGCACAGAGGAGCCAGCACCCTCTTAGTTTTGGGATAAGGGGGAACCTGACCCTCTCCGTGCCCCCCTGATTTGGGGTTACTGTTCCACCCCCTGCTCCTCGTCCTCTTTTTGGGGTGCAGCCACAGCCTACAGACCCTTTGTGCAGTTTAAGCACCTGTTTTAGGGTGCTCGTCCATATTTGGGCACAATCTGTGCATTTTAAGGGCAGGGGGGAGCCAGCACCTCTTATTTTGGGGTAAGGAGAAGCCCCTGGTGGTGCTGACTCTCTCCATGCCCCCTAGATTTGGGGTTACTGTTCCAAAATCCCCCCCAAACTGGGGGCATTGAGCTGCCAGCACCCAGATTTTGGGGTGCTCCTGCAGGGGGGAGCTTCGATGGAGCTGTCCCCTCTAATTGGGCTCCCCATTTCAGGGGGCTGGCCCCCACTTTTTGGGGTTCAGGCATCCCTGTGGCCCTGTTTTTTTCGGAGGGGGAGCTGATACCTGGTTTGGGGGGACACTGAGCTGGTTTTTGGGGTGCTGATGTCTGTTTTTGGGGTGCCGCCCCCCGTTCCAGGTGGTGCTCCCCTGTAACCTGCTGCGCATGATCTGGAACGCCCAGAAGATTTTCCACATCAACTCGCGCCTGCCCTCGGACCTGCACCCCGTCAAGGTGGTGGAGGGTGAGTGGGGGGGTCCTGAGCCCCCACGGGTGCGCTGGGGGGGTCTCGGGACACCCATGGACCCCACAGAGGGGCTGGGGGATTTGGGGACCCTCGCAAGGAGCTGGTGTACGCCCAGGAGGAGGGCTTGGGGGTGTGTGGGGACTTGGAGACTGCTAGGAAGCAGCTTGGAGCCCTCTCAGTAAGGTTTTGGGGCACTTGGGGGACCCCCAGGAAGGTTTTGGGGTACTTGGAGACCCTCAGGAATCAGCCTGGGGACGCTCAGGAAAGTTTTGGGGGAATTTTGGGACACACAGAAGGAGTTTGTGGGACCCCCAGGAAGGTTTTGGGGCACTGTGAGACACACAGAAGGACTTTGAGGACACTCAGGAAGGTTTTTGGGGTACTTGGGGGACACCTAGGAAGGTTTTTGGGTACTCAGACTGTTAGGAAGCAGCTTGGAGACACCCCAGGAAGGTTTTGGGGCATTTGGGGACCCCCAGGGAGGTTTGGGGGCAATTGGGGACCTCCAGGAAGTTGTTGGGGGCATTTAGGGACACAGAAAAGGAGCTTGAGGACCCCCAGGAAGGTTTTGGGGTACCTGGGGACCCCCAGGAAGGTTTGGGGTCTTTTGGAGACCCTCAGGAGTCAGCTTGGGGACGCTCAGGAAGGTTTGGGAGGAATTTTGGGACACACAGAAGGAGCTTGTGGGACACTCGAGAAGGTTTTGGGGCACTGTGGGACACACAGAAGGACCTTGAGGACCCCCAGGAAGATTTTGGGACACTTGGGGACCCCCAGGAATGCCTTGGGGGGCCTCAGGACCCCCCCCAAAAACACAACCTGGGACCCCCCAGCCCAGAAACGGGGCACTCAAAGCCCCCCAACCCCCAGGAAGCTGCCGAGGGGGAGCCCCCAGCAGCTCTCCGGGCACCTGGGGACCCCCAGAAGGGTGCCGGGGACCTCCTGGGGGGGCGTCCTGGGCGCTCCCTCACCCCCCCCTCGATGTCAGGGGTGAAGGAGCTGAGCCGCAAGCTGGTGATCGTCAACGGGGAGGACCCCCTGAGCCGGCAGGCGCAGGAGAACGCCACGCTGCTCTTCAACATCCACCTGCGCGCCACCCTCTGCAGCCGCCGCATGGCCGAGGAGTTCCACCTCAGCGGGGAGGCCTTCGACTGGCTCCTGGGGGAGATCGAGTCCAAGTTCAACCAGGCCATCGTGAGTGGGGGCTCTGGGGGGGATTTGGGGGGGATTTGGGGTGAGGACAGGAGAGTTTGAGGGTCTTTGGGGTGATTTTGCGGGGTCTTCGGGGAGTTCTGGCTCAGTGGGGAGGCCTCAGACTGTCTGCTGGGGGAGATCAAGTCCAAGTTCAACCAGGCCATCGTAATTGGGGAGGGCTGGGGGGCTTTTGGGGGTCTTTAGGGTGAGGACAGGAGGGTTTGGGGGTCTTTGGGGTGATTTTAGGGGGTCTTAGTGGTGATTTTGGGGCGGCTTCGGGGAGTTGTGGCTCAGCAGGGAGGCTTTTGGCTGGCTGCTGGGGGAGATCGGGTCCAAGTTCAACCAGGCCATCGTGAGTGGGGGCTCTGGGGGGGATTTGGGGGGGATTTGGGGTGAGGACAGGGGGGTTTGGGGGTGTTGGGGGTGATTTTGGAGGGGCTTCGGGGAGTTCAGCCTCAGTGGGGAGGCCTCAGACTGGCTGCTGGGCGAGATCGAGTCCAAGTTCAACCAGGCCATTGTGAGTGGGGGCACTGGGGGGGATTTGGGGGGATTTGGGGTGAGGACAGGAGAGTTTGAGGGTCTTTGGGGTGATTTTGCGGGGTCTTCGGGGAGTTCTGGCTCAGTGGGGAGGCCTCAGACTGTCTGCTGGGGGAGATCAAGTCCAAGTTCAACCAGGCCATCGTAATTGGGGAGGGCTGGGGGGCTTTTGGGGGTCTTTAGGGTGAGGACAGGGGGTTTGGGGGTCTTTGGGGTGATTTCAGGGGGTGTTTGTGGTGATTTTGGGGCGGCTTCGGGGAGTTGTGGCTCAGCAGGGAGGCTTTTGGCTGGCTGCTGGGGGTGATCGGGTCCAAGTTCAACCAGGGCATCGTGAGTGGGGGGGCTTTGGGGAGGTTTTTGGGGGGGCTTTGGGGTGAGGACAGGGGGGTTTGAGGGTCTTTGGGGTGATTTTGGGGCGGCTTCGGGGAGTTCAGCCTCAGTGGGGAGGCCTCGGACTGGCTGCTGGGGGAGATCAAGACCAAGTTCAACCAGGTTGGGGACCAGATTGGGGACAGCCAGGGTGGTTTTGGGGTCCCGTGGTCCCCCACGTGTCCCCAGGTACACCCCAGGGAGATGCTGGGGTTAGATCATGGGATTTGGGGCCAGACTGGGGACAATCAGAGTGGTTTTGGAGTCCTGTGGTCCCCCGGATCTCCCCAGGTGCACCTCAGGGAGATGCTGGGGTTGGATCTCAGGGTTTTGGGACCAGATCAGGGATCATGGGGGTGATTTTGGGGTCTCTTTTGGGGGCCATACCCCCACAGGTGCACCGTGGGGAGAAGTTGGGGTCAGACTGTGGGGTTTGGGGACCAGACTGGGGACGGGATCAGGGACCACGGGGGCCTTAGGGTCTCTTTCGGGGGCCATATCCCCATGGGTGCACCCTGGGGAGATGCTGGGGTTGGATCTCAGGGTTTTGGGACCAGACAGGGGATGGGATAAGGGACCATGGGGACAGTTTCGGGGTCCCCTAATGTGTCCCCCCCTCCGCAGGCACACCGCAGCGAGGTGCTGGGGATGGATCTCAGGGTTTTGGGACCAGATCAGGGACCATTGGGGTGATTTTGGGGTCTCTTTTTGGGGCCATATCTGCACAGGTGGACCCCGGGGACGTGTTGGGGTCAGACTGTGGGGTTTTGGGACCAAACTGGGGACAGGATCAGGGACCACGGGGGCAGCTTTGGGGTCCCCTGACGCATCTCCCCCCGGGGAGATGCTGGGATTGGATCTCAGGGTTTCGGGACCAGACTGGGGACAGGATCAGGGACCATGGGGGTGTCTTTGGGGTCCCCTAACGCGTCCCCCCCCCCACAGGCACACCCCGGGGAGATGGTGGGGGCGCTGGCGGCGCAGTCGCTGGGCGAGCCGGCCACGCAGATGACCCTCAACACCTTCCACTACGCCGGCGTCTCGGCCAAAAACGTGACGCTGGGCGTGCCGCGCCTCAAGGAGCTCATCAACATCTCCAAAAAGCCCAAAACGCCCTCGCTCACCGTCTTCCTGCTGGGACAGAGCGCCCGCGACGCCGAGCGCGCCAAGGTGGGGTCCTGGGGGGATCCTGGGGGGGTCCTGGGGGGCTGGGGGAGACCCCGGGGCCGCGTGGTCCCGTGGGGTTTTGTGTCCCCGCTGTGTCCCCACAGTCCCCCAACCTCCTCTCCTTGTACCAACCCGTGTCCCCTCGTCATCCCCCTGTCCCCACCCTGTCCCCATATCCCCCCCCCGTCCCCGTGCCCCCCACACTAACCCCGTGTCCCCCCCCCAGGACATCCTGTGCCGCCTGGAGCACACGACGCTGCGCAAGGTGACGGCCAACACGGCCATCTACTACGACCCCATCCCGCAGAGCACGGTGGTGGCCGAGGACCAGGAGTGGGTCAACGTCTACTACGAGATGCCCGACTTCGACGTCAGCCGCATCTCGCCCTGGCTGCTGCGCGTCGAGCTCGACCGCAAGCACATGACGGACCGCAAGCTCACCATGGAGCAGATCGCCGAGAAGATCAACGCCGGTGGGGCCATCAGGGGGGGCGTTTCGGGGTGCTGGGGGGCGTTGGGGGGCGATTGGGGGAGGTTGGGGGGCGATTTGGGGGCTTTAGGGGAGAATTAGGGGGAACACGGGGGATTTGGGAGCTTTGGGGGAGCATTAAGGGGGCATTGGGGGGCGATTTGGGGCTTTAGGGGAGCACTATGGGGGGCGTTGGGGGAATTAGGGGAGATTGGGGGGCGTTGGGAGGCGATTTGGGGCTTTGGGGGAGCATTAGGGGGGTG